CCCCAAAACCCCAAAACCCCAAAACCCCAAAACCCCAAAATTTAAGTTTAGAATTGAAATATATATTAAGGAATGGAGTAAGTGATACCTGTAGGAAATTTTCTGCTGCTAAAGTAATTTATTAGGATTCTTTATGTTAACATACATGAAAAAACTAGAATTATTTTTTCTTGATATCATATTTTTGTATATACAAAAGCTCCTGTTTCTCTCTTATGAAGGCTTTCGGGAGAAATCCATTTTTGAATGTTCTGCTTTGCAGATTTTCTATTATATTCTTTAAACTTTTAAAGAGAATTACAAATTTACAAAATTCAAAACAATTTCAAATATTTCCAAGGACTTCTGCTAGCTAAAAATATTCAAAATCCTTTCCTCCCCAAATTACATCTAAATAATATATTCGATTAATTATTTCCTCCAAACAATTCCCCAAATCTCCTAAACCACCTCCCTCCCCAACTACCCCCCCTACAAAGCCCCTAACTTCCCTTCCCAATCCCCTTCCTTCCCCCTAACCCCCTCTCCCCCCTCTCCCCCTCTATCCCATCCCCACCACCCCCTAATCCCCTTAACCCCACTCAAAACCCCTCTACTCCACCTCTCCCCTTCTGAATCCCTACACTTATAGAAGAGATTTAGCCCAGGGCCTGACCCTGGCTCTGACTGGTTATTATGGGAATAGTTTTGATTGTGGGTATAGATTGTAGGTGGTGGAGATGGGAGAGATGGGTGAGAAGTGAAAAATTGTTTGACCTGTAAAGGAGCGGAGCAGAGTTAGTTCAATTAATCTCCAGCTGTATTGCAAACTTCATCTGTCAAATTTCTTCCTAATTGTTCATATCTTACTTTTCTAGAAGGTGTTTTACATAATTGATGCCTAATTGTGCAGAGCTTTAATAATAATTAGCTAGAAGTAGTTTAAAAATCTCTATAGACGCATGAAAAGAATGCTAGGTGTTTCTTCAATAACAGATATGATTTTTGAAGAAAATGATGGCACTGAGATCCCTTTCACAGAGATGTTCGAGTACCTAGCAACTCTCGGCTCAGGCGGATTTGGGTTTGTAGTCGCTGCACTTGAAAAATCTACAGGAGAGGAGGTGGCAATAAAGGTTCTCAATAAGGAAAAAGCAAGCCAGAAGGTTATAAAGTTGTTCAAATAAAGAAGCAAATAGTTTAGAGATGTATGACCACCCTAATATAGTCAAGTTCAGATTTCTTCATAATTATAGTAATTATGTGTGACTTGGCATGGAGCTCTGCTTAGGTGGTACCCTAATGGACTGGATCATACAGCAAAGGCAGGTTGAATACCCTTCTTTTGAGGAGTATGAGGAGAAGTGAGCTGAGGTGACTAAGCATATCCTTGAAGGCTTGCACTATCTTCATAATAGTCAAGAGATGATCCATCGCGATCTCAAGCCTGCTAATATTCTTCTATCAAAGAAAAATGATATCTCTTCAGTGAAGATATGCGATTTCGGGCTTGCTAATAATGTTGGGAGTTCTATATTTGATCAAAACTATGAAAATGTTGGAACAATTATGTATCAAGCACCAGAGCAAATGGATGAATCTCGTTGATATTCTAAAGCTGCTGATCTTTGGGCAGTTGGCATGATCATCTATGAAATGGTCACTAAAGGAGGCCATCCAATTCTTGGTGAAGACATTCATTGTAAAATGAATATGACTCCAAAAGAGTATAAGCTAAGAATGGATAAATTTAGTATTGATTTAAAGAAATCAACTCGGGCACAAAGTGTATCTGACCTGGCAAAGAATTTGATAACCAATCTCTGCAGTAAGAAGGCAAACATGCGGTATAACTGCAGTAGAGCTTTACTACATCCTTGGATTACAAGGGACGCGAATGATAAGATTCCGCTCACTTTCCAAGAAGAGTTAGAAATAAATTTATTAAGAATGGTAAGATTGTCTAAGATAACCTTTTTCACACGTTTTATTTAGGACTCAGAGAAGAGTATTATGTCCCATGATAAGGGTGAAGTTTCTAAAGCTCCTGATGTGGGTTTAAGCCCAGTCAAAGTTTTTCCAAGAAAATCACCAGAAAAAAGTAGTACTATTTCCAAAGAATATTCAAGACTAGGACATCAGAATGGATTTGGTAAGTTAAATTTTACTTAATTTTTTACCTTTTTAGACCATAGTGAGCACAAATTTAGGAACAAAAATTCCTCAATTAGTAAAGATAGAAAGATCAAAGCAACTTCAAAGATTAGTGTGCATAGTAAATTATCCAAAAGATCAGATTTTCAGGTAAAGAAGAGAAAGAATCCAACTCTTGTGCACAAGAGTGCTAAAAAGAGAGTTCTAACTGTGAATAAGGCACTAAATCCTAGCTCCAGTTCACATAGAAAGGAGAAAGCTAAACTATGCCTCCCACCAATTATAAACAGAGGCAAGCTGTTTAATGTAAGCGACTCTAAGTCTACTACTTCGAGAAACAGATATACTAAAATTAGGAGGAAGTTAGACACCAATAAGATCCAAAGTATTTCTGAAGAGACAGCTATGTTCTTGAAACAAAAATCCCCTGTAAAAATTCCATTCTCCAAGAGACTCTCAGATCCGTTTGACTTGGGCATGAAGATTAGCAAGAACTTCGATTTTTCCGTCAAGAAGCCTTGCAAAGTATGACACCTAGTTCAGTGACAATGAGTAAGGTGTGCGTCTTAAATTTTAGTCCATTCCAAAATCTTCTAAGTATCAACCACAAGCTGTAAGCCAGAGTGGATACAGTCCTTCTTTTAAAAGTACGGTCAAGGGAAATCATGAAAGAGCTTCTCTCACCAGGATAGAAGTTCCTAGTGGTTTTGACCCTTACACGCCAACCTATGGCAAGGAGAATATTGACGGGAACAGGCTTCCTAAACCATGGCTTTACTCTGCAAAAGTCCTAAAATAATAGTCTTTGAGGTAATTTTTCAACTTATTTGTCATGAATGGGGTTTTGGGGTTTTGGGGTTTTGGGGTTTTGGGG